GGACATTCGTAATAAGCTCTGCATGGTTTGAGATTACCAGGTCCAACAGAGCATCATTCTTAATAGGGGCTTCTAGGAACTGTACCATAAAATTGTACTGTAGTAGGTTTAAACATTTTTGCCGTTTAACTGTTCCTGCAGTACCATTACTTCAGTCAATTTGGGTAGTTTAAAATCCCCCATTATTACACACACATTTGTCCTTTTCAGGTATCTCTCCTCCGGTGCACACACACACATTGGTCTTTCTCATATATCCCACCTCCGGTGCAAACACACTTGGCCTTTCTCATGTATCTCTCCTCCAGTGCATACACACATTGGTCTTTCCCCTGTATCCCCCCTCTGGTACACACACATTGGTCTTTCCCCTGTAACCCCCCTCCGGTACACACACATTGGTCTTTCCGCTGTATCTCCCCTCCGATACACACACACATTGGTCTTTCCAGTGTATCCCCCCTCCGGTACACACACACACACATTGGTCTTTCCCCTGTATCCCTCCTCCGGTGCACACACATTGGTCTTTCTAATGTATCCCCCCTCCGGTACACACACATTGGTCTTACCCCTTTATCCCTCCTTCAGTGCACACACACATTAGTCTTTCCCCTGTATCCCTCCTCCGGTGCACACAGACATTGGTCTTTCCGTTGTATCCCCCCTCCGGTACACATACATTGGTCTTTCCCCTGTATCCCCCCTCCAGTACACACACATTGGTCTTTCCCCTGTATCCCTCCTCCATTGCACACACACATTGGTCTTTCCCCTGTACCCCCCTTCCGGTACACACAGACATTGGTCTTTCCCCTGTATCCTCCCTCCAATACACACACACATTGGTCTTTCCCCTGTATCCCTCCTCCGGTGCACACAGACATTGTGTGTTTCCCCTGTATCACCCCTCCGGTACACACACATTGGTCTTTCCCCTGTATCCCCCCTCCGATGCAAACACATTAGTCTTTCCCCTGTATCCCCCCTCCGATGCAAACACATTAGTCTTTCCCCTGTATCCCCCCTCCGGTACACACACATTGGTCTTTCCCCTGTATACCTCCTCCCATACACACACACATTGGTGTTTCCCCTGTATCCCTCCTGCGGTGCGCACACACATTGGTCTTTCCGCTGTGTTCCCCTTCCGGTGCACACACACTTTGGTCTTTCCCCTGTATCCCCCCTCTGGCACATACACACATTGGTCTTTCCCCTGTATCCCCCTCTGGTACACACACATTGGTCTTTCCAATGTATCCCTCCTCCAGATGGGTTTCTTCTGCAGAGACTCCTCAATCTGCAGTCACATACTCTCACCACACAAAGTGAATATTAAACACGCCTTCCCCATAGACATTGAACACTGAGCCCAGACACACAGTCAGGTTCAGCACTCAGCTGGTCATACAGTGATAGATTTTCGTACGACTGTATGAATGCAAAATCTTGTCAGTTCACTTGACTATTCCAACTTGACGAATGTCATTTGAAAGTACTTCAAAATTGTGTTTGCTTTTAACATTCAATTTTGTAATGAATGATATTTCCTGAATGGAAACCATCTACACTGTTAAAAATGTGTTCATTTAGAAAAATATTCCATTCATCTCCTTAGAATTTTAACACTACATTAATATACCACATTTTGGCCACTAGATGGAGTGGATGATCATAGGAATTAATTTAGTACATGATATAATTATGGCAAAAATATGTGTGAAATTTGACCAAGGAATTTTTTGTATCAGTAGTGTCACTTTAGATAGTTATTTCATCTGTAGATTGACCTGTTTCTAGAAGCACTAAAATGATGTCCCTGGTGCAAAGGGTGGCAAAGTGCAAATTAACCACTTCAATATCGGACGCTTTTGCCTCCTTCCTGCCCAGGCCAATTTTCAGCTTTCAGCGCTATCACACTCTGAGTGCCAATTACTCAGAGCCATGCAACACTGTACCCAAGTGAAATTTGTTATCATTTTTTGAGACAGATAGAGATTTCATTTGGTGGTATTTAATTGCCAATGTTTTTTTGTTTTGTTTTGTTTTGCCATATAAACAAAAAATTCCAAAAATCGTGAAAAAAAAACACATTTATATTCGTTTATGTTATAAAATTTTGCAAATAATTACTTTTTCTTCATAAATATAGGACAAATTGTATTCTGATACATTTCATTGCAGTATATTAATTAGTCTGTGTAAATGTTATACATTCTTCAAACTATGGTATATACAGTATATCTGAAAATTTATCAGTCCTGATATACTGATGGCCTATCTCATTTCTTGAGGCCTTAAAATGCCAGGACAGTACAAATACCCCCCAAATTACCCATTTTTAGACAGTAGACAGTCCAAGACATGGCGAGTTTTTTGCAGTTGTAATTTTATGTCACATTTTTTGGGAAAATAAAAAAATTAAATCATTACTTTTTCACATTTGCTGAATACTGTCATCAGAGCAGTACAGCATCATTATCTTACTGGTGTGGCTGTAATCAGAGATGCTGACTGGTGATAGTATGTAAAATAAATAAATATACACATATATATATATATATATATATATATACACATATACAGTTAGGCACAATTTTAGTTTTTTCAGGTATTTACCAAAACATATTCAAGCTATAGTTATATAATGGATATGGGCTGAAAGTGCACACTCTTAGGTTTAATTTGAGGATAGGTATATCCAAATTAGAGGAAGGGTTTAGGAATTACAGCTCTTAAAAGTAGCCATTCCCCCTTTTTCAAGGGACCAAGAGTAATTGGACAGTTGAATCAAAAGCTGTTTCATGGCCAGGTGTGGGCTACTCTTTCATTATTTCTTCATCAATTAAGCAGGTAAAAGGTTTGGAGTTGATTCTAAGTGTGGTATTTGCATTTGGAATCTATTGCTGTGAACCTACATCATGCATTCAAAGGAGCTGTCCATGCAAGTGAAACAGGCCATTGTAAGGCTTTAAAAATAAAACAAATCCATGAGAGAGATAGCAGCAACATTAAGAGTGGCCAAATCAACAGTTTGGTACATTCTGAGGAAATAAGAATGCACTGGTGAGCTCAGCAACATAAAAAGGCATGGACGTCCACGGAAGACAACAGTGGTGGATGATCGCAGGATCCTCTCTATGGTAAAGAAAAACTCATTCACAACATCCAGACAAGTGAAGGACACTCTCCAGGAGGTTGGCATATCATTGTCAAAGTCTACAATCAAGAGAAGACTTCACGAGAGCAAATAGAAAGGGTTCACCACAAGGTGCAAACCATTCATAAGCCTGAAGAATAGAAAAGCCAGATTATACTTTGCCAAAAAACATCTAAAAAAGCCAGACCAGTTCTTTAAAAGCATTTTTTGGATGGATGAAACTAAGATTAATCTGTACCAGAATGATGGGTACGGGGAATGGAACAGCACATGATCCAAAGCACACAACATCATCTGTAAAACATGGTTAAGGCAGTGTGATGGAATGGGCATGCATGGCTTCCAGTAGCACTGGGTCATTTATTGATGATGTGACAGAAGCAGCCAGATGAATTCTGCAGTGTTTAGAGATATACTGTCAGCCCAGATTCAGCCAAATGCAGCAAAGTTGATTGGACGGCGCTTCACAGTATAGATGGACAATGATCCAAAACACACTGCAAAAGCAATCCAGGAGCTTTTGAAGAAAAATAAATGGAATATTCTGCAATGGCCGAGTCAATCACCCGATCTCAACCAAATTGAGCATTCATTTCACTTGCTGAAGGCAAAACTAAAGGCAGAAAGACCCACAAACAAAGAACAACTGAAGACAACTGCAGTTAGAGCCTGGCAAAGCATCAGAAAGGAGGAGATCCAGTCTTTGGTAATGTTCATGGGTTCCAGACTTCAGGCAGTCATTGCCAGTAAAGGATTCTCAACAAAATATAAAAAATTTACATATTATTTATCATTATATTCAATTGTCCAATTACTTTTGGTTCCTTGAAAAAGGTGGGAAGGCTACTCTTAAGAGGTGTAATTCCTAAACCCTGCCTCCAATTTGGATGTACATACCCTCAAATTAAACCTGAGAGTGTGCACTTTCAGCCCATATCCATTTATATAACTATAGCTTGAATATGTTTTGGTAAATACATGAAAAAATCTAAAATTGTGCCTGTGTCAAAATATATATGGACCTAACTGTATATATTCACATTTTTTTCTTTCTTTTTTAAACATTTTTTTCTTTTTTTTTTTACATACTGTGACTGGGCAGGTGATCAGGATTTTTTTTTTTACACTATGATTGCTTATATCAGTGATGACCACTGTTATAAGCAATAATTTTTATGAATGGCATCCATTCATGTGCCATTGTGTTAGTTGTGATTGGCCATAGCTATCACATGATACAGGTGTGCTGTGCTTGGCCGTATCTGTAACATTTGACCACTATGACCAATCACAGAGATCACAGTAGTACACAATGAATGGCTATAAATGAAAGCCATTGTGTACATTTGATAAGTCACAGCGATCACAATGTACTGGGGCTGGCCCAGTACAATGATCTAGCATCTGCTGTGTCCACCAAGAGAGACTGCACCACTGAATGGCCCCTAGGACACATATGAGGAGCGCAGCTGGGACTATGTCATATGACATCCAACTAGAATAATGATGCTCCAGTTTTCTTTTTGCTATAGATTGGGTGGGAGGGGGTTAGATAAAGAGGGGAGGAGCCTTGGGCTCACGAGGTACACTCAAACTCTTGATATGTAGTTTTTATTAAATTGTTAATTTTTTTTATTGTCTTCCTATGAGCTGACCATGTGCTTGGCCTCAAACTCTCATCCTTCTTTTGGGAAGGAAAGGGAATTAGGAAGTGTGTGTGTGTATATGTATGTATATACTGTATGTGTGTGTGTATATATATATATATATATATATATATATATATGAGATAGCAGCCTTTGAAATAGGTTTAATGATTTTAAATGAATACATAAATGGACTGATTAAAGCCTGTTTTATTTCTCTCTGAAAACCTGTCTGAATGCCATCTCAAAATTCTGTTCAAGGGCACAGGACGTTGTATGTGGGAGTCCGTATGCCACTGGGGCGGCAGAGTCACAGACATCATCGGACCCATGGGGGGAAGCACAGGAAACGAGATCGGATGAAGGGTGTCATTCAAGAAGAAGGCCACGATGAATCCCTAGCTCATGGTAAGGAGCAATCAGCATCTGTTTATACAGCATATAAAACAGCCTTGGGCAAATAGCTTTTAAACTGACCAATACATTTAAATCACACTTATTACATGTGCTGCTAATACAAATCATAAAATTGTGTGTAAGAGTTTCCATACTTGCACAACAAGATGAGGTATCAGGTGCATTAGAGATTTTTAACTTATGTATGCCAGGTTTTTACTGCCATCCAGTGCTCCATTAGAGATCTCTCCTCATTTACTATCACAGTGATGGTATACTGAGTAAACCAGAACATGAAGAGAAATCTCCAGCAATGACACAGACTAATTTTTTTTTTGTTGCATTATCCATTGTTAATGTGACAGCTAGGCAGCCCAAACATTTGTCATTTTTTTCAACCAGTGGGCTGAAAAAAGAAAAAGTGATCTGATTCCTCCATCCACACATTTGATGTGGGTGAGGGAATTCTCCCACTATGCTGTTGTGTTATGCTGTCAGAATACAATGATACAATGATCAGTGATATCAGCTATAGATTGGGGAAAAACCTGACATGCTGGCATTACAGAAGTTGATCCAATGATCGATTTCTGTACAACCAGGGTGCCCATACTTGGATTGAAATTCGGGCTGTTCAACATGAATTCAGTCCATGTACGGCTGACTTTTGTTAAATGAAATCAAATGGAGTCCCAAACAGAAGTAAAACCCAACAAGGTTTTATTTCTTCATCATTCCATCTCAAACTAAAAAAAAAAAAAAAACGTTTTGGCAGCATGTACATTTTAGTTACATTTGTGGTAGTTGTCCTTTCTGATGAACTTTAAAATGAAGGTGCCAAACTTGAATTACCTGCCAAGGTCAAAGCATTGTCCTGCATTCCCAGCTAAATAAATGATGCTAAATAAAGAGATTGATTTCAGAGTCCTGAGACTTAAATGGCTGTTAAATATCTTGGGGCACTATATCAATGTATGATCATTTCAAAGAAAGGCCTACCACTTGGAATCATTTGCTTCATCAGTAATCATCTATACATTTCCTCAGTTGTGTCTGATTTTCCATTACATTTCCTACAGCATTAAAAAGGAATTCATAATAGACCTTTGAGTGACCATTATGGACTGTTACATTTCTTATATTTGTGAAAGGCCAGCTTTATTGTTAAAGTCCAATCATAGCCTGGCCATTTCTCAGTATTTTTCCATGATTATTGGATCAAATATCAAAAAACTGAAACAGATTACTGTACATGTAGTAATTTGCCATGGCATGATACCTTCTCTGTGCGTAGCAAGTGAAAACTATATTCTGTGAAAAATAAGTGATGACTGGTAGTTAAACGGAACCAACATATCTACACCTTTCAATTTGTGAATGAACTTTGTTTCTCAGAACACACATACATTTATACAGTGTGTGTATATATATATATATATATATATATATCGCCAAGATCATGATGTCACCCACCCACCTGATCTGAGGAAGCTTTGTATTCATTCAGAAAATACAAAGCTGCATGTGAATGGCTGAACAACACTCAGGCTAGTTCACACCATATGCAGTTTGCGTTTGATCCGTTTCTGCAGTGCTTTTTGTGGTGCATTTTTTGTGTATTTTTGATGCGTTTAGCGTTTTTATGGTTTTTTTTTGCCAACTTGTTGCTGGGCAGATTAAAATGCAAAACGCATCAAAAACGCACTGCATGCATTTCTACAGCATCTCCATTAAAGTCTATTGAACCAAAATGCAACGTTTTGCATCCCTGACCCTTTCCAAAAACTGCATCAGGCAAAAACACGGAGATGTGAACATGTCCCATAGGAAATCATGTTAAATGGACTGTAGTGCGTTTCTGCAAAATGCACTGCAAAACGCTTAGGTGTGAACCTAGATTCAGACTGACTCAATTTTGTTCCAGGTTTCGAACAGAAAGTCTCCATCCCTCTGTTGGAAGACATTGTTGTATACTGTATGCAGCTGAGGCTACTTACAAGTTCATACAGTGCTGAGGACCACTGCATCTATTAGTATAGTAAAGAGTTCTATTGGACTAGCTTGGCCCAAATAAACTATTTAAATATCACTAAAAAGCTGGAGATCAAACTTAAGGCAAAACCTTTTCTTTTATTTTAATTTGGGATTTGAAGAGGAATTAGAACACCTGTCAAGTTTTTGTTACTGTCTGTGCCCTTGTTAGGGATATTCACTCTCCTACAGTATTTATCATTATCTCTGAGAGTGAAAGTCAAAGAAAATCCCAAATTTGTCCAAACCAGAGCATATATAGAGAGATTCCCTCATGTTAGAGGAATTTCCTCTCACTTTCTGTTTTGGCTATAGAAAATGAAGGGAAGGGAAATCTCCCAAACAAGCCACAAGTAGCCAAACAAACCTTACAGGGGTTATAACCCTCCTTTGCTATATCCAAAATGAGAAAAAGTTTTGCCATTAGTTCTTTAAAAAAAAGTCTTCAATAACCAAGTAGCTTAACTAATTTCAGGTATCCTCTGACACAGGTACATTTCTTACAATCACTTTCTGCTTGTCTTTAAATGTTTTTCAAACAATCTGCTATTGAAATTACTAAAAGTATTTTCTGATATCTAATAAAAGATGAAATATTTGCTAAAACTCAAAAGTGTAATGATAAAGTTTCTGTAAATTGAAATTGGAAGTCCAGCCTATTCCTAACTAAGCTTAAACCAGCTCTCACGCCCGTTCTGAACCCTATTCTATCTACCCTGTGAAAAGAAGATGTCTATACTAACCTATAATGAGTGATCCCATCCACGTAATCTCCCCAGCGGCTGGCTTCAGTGTAGAGGAATGATCTCTGACAACGGCTCCAGAACCTGAGCCTTGACGCCAGCCTTAGGCTTACCATGAGGTATCAACTGTCCCCTCCTCTACACTGAAGCCACCGCTAACAGCTGATCATGTGACCGGACGAGATCACTCTCAGAATAGGAAAGAATGCACATCTTCTTTTCACAGGGTAGACAGAATATGGTTTATTTATTTCAGGTACTTCTATAGCGCCGTTAATTTACGCTTTCCATATATATTGTACATTTACATCAGTCCCTAACCCTCAAAGGGTGTACAATTTAAGGTACCCAACTTACATTCATACATACACACACTAGAACCAATTTAGACAGGATCCAATTAACCTACCAGCATGTCTTTGGAGTGTGGGAGGAAACCAGAGTACCCGGAAGAAACCCATGCAGGCACAGGGAACATGCAATCTCCAGGCAGGGGGTGCCATGGTTGGGATTCAAAGTAACGACCCTAATACTGCCATGTGAAGTGCTAACCATTTAGCCACTGTGTTGCTGTTTTAGAATTGTTGGGGGGGACGGGGAGGAGATTTCAGCTTAGTTTGGAATAGGTTTGACTTCTACCTTAACTATGATTACTGTAAGGAGAAGAACCCCCTAAACCCACAATAAGACACACATACCACTGATTGAGAAGCAGTGCTGTAGATAACCTTCTTAGATCAGTAAGGACACTTCCTGTATATTGATTTGTGCCCCCTAAATTGCCTGTCAATATGTATATGGAATTTAATGAAAAACTTGACACGATAAGATTGTGAAAAATCGAAAAAGTATGTCACAGTTTCTCAGATAAAAAGGACTAACTGGCTTAACCTACAAACCAATAAAGGTAAGGTCATTATTCCATGACCTAACATCATAAATCATTTTTTAAATTATTTAAAGCATACTAAAAACTGTTCATAGGTTACCCTGTTATGTGCATTATTACTGCACTTTCCAAAAGTGAGTACTAATTTCTAATCACAGCTTACGAAAACTGTATTCTTTTATCTGTTCGATATCTAGACAGTTTCAATTTATACAGTACAACGCTGGGATGAAATAAAATGCAAGAAAAATGATGTTTTCACAATTTGATAGGAACACAGGAACGAGTAATCTTTTATTGTGTTCAGTTAAGCATCCTAATCATAAATCTCTTTGAGATCCATGGCGCAAACTCCAGAGCAGTATCTATTACAGCTGTCTCTTAATTCCCATTGTGTGCCTTGTGTAAAGTCACCTTGTAATGTGTTATTAATGCAGACACCCCATCCCAGAGAGTGCAGTTCATCCTTGGAACGGAGGAGGACGAGGAACATGTGCCACATGAGCTGTTTACGGAGCTGGACGAAATCTGTGTTAAAGAAGGAGAGGATGCTGAGTGGAAGGAGACGGCAAGGTGATGCATTATCAGAAATATCTCCTCTCTTACACATCCGTAAATAACTGGCTAATGATCCTGCAATGTGTTTAAAGTTTGGCAGCCTTTGAGACCATGAAAACTAGGCAGACATCCATTTAATTGGAAAGCATCTTCTATGGAAGGTTCATAAATCAAAAATATGGGTTAACATTAGGAAAAGAGTCATTGAACATATTGGCATTTATCCAATAAAATGTAAATCTGTGTGATGGTCACTGATATTAGGGGTAATGTTGGGCATAGAAGTGATCACATGACCCAAAGTGATACTGGCACATATTATGTGATTATGCCAGTATATCATGTTCCATGACTAGAGAGGGGAAGGCCTGGGAAAAAAAAACAGAAAACATGGGACTAACATTTTTTTTCTTTTTTTTTCAAAACCGTTTTTTGTTATTTTACAGAAAAATTGGAAAAATAAAAAGAAGTGTGGAACATGTTCTTTTACAATGATACATAATATATCTATGACGTGGTATTCAAACTATTTAGCATAAATACCTTATGTAAAGATTTCTGAGGCTTTATGTAAAGTCTTAAATTATTGCAAGTTCTCTCAGCTGAAGACAAGTGAATCCTGGAATACAATTCAGGTAACGCTGTACTTCTCAATGCAGTTCTCAGACAAGAGAAATATGCATTTCTGCACTAGGGGACACTGCAGGGAAAAGGCTCCAGTTTAGTTTGCTTTTGTAAGATCCATTATGTAATTCCCGCAGTTGGGTGATTGTTGGGATGCAGTAGATGATAGTTTCTGTCCTCTCAAGCCTTCATTGACAGGTAAGAGGGCAAATTTGTCTGCCAAAATAGTTTATCTTTATAACCTTTAAAGTGGTAGTAAGCCACAACCTTTTTAAAAAAGAAAAAAAAACCTGCAAGACAAAGGCATAATGTGCTTGTATGCATTGCATACTAGCACATTATGTGAAACTCACCTTAAAATGAAGCCCTCCAGGGGCACACTGTCACTGCTGATAGGGCTTCCATTTTCACCCAGTCTTTCTGCCAGGTTTGCAGGCTTTGTCGGCTTGAATAGCTGAGCCGCGATGACGTCACTCGCACAGGAGTCAATTTTTATGGCACAGAGCTCTGAAGGAATGGCACAGGGATGCAGTTCCTTCAGAGCACGTGCGCCGGTGTCTTTTATAGGTAAATATTTCCTAAATGGTGCACATTTACGAGATATTTGCAGTACCTACAGGTAAGCCTTATTATAGGCTTACCTGTGGGTACAAGTGAAAAAAATGACTGTACTACCACTTTAAATTATTCTTATTAATGTTAATGTTTTCCACCATCACAGCATAATGATTACCTATAGTCTGCTCAGTAAATAGTTTTTTCTTTTCCTTCTGTCAGTAAAATGGTGAGACCAACATTCTGCTGAGAGCAAAGCTGCAATTTACAAATACTGTGAGAAGAAATATTCTTTTCCAAATGCTCTGAGGATGACAGAACACATCCTGGCATGCCAGAGGTGTCCTAAAGACATTAAAAATATTTTATGGAATTAATGATGGGGAACATAATGATAGTGCAAGTAGCTTTTCTCTCCAAAGTTCCCATTCCAGAAAAATTCTTTCTGCTGCTTCTGGATCACCACAAAGTATTTCTTCACCAGCAGCATCTTCAAGTAAGGAAGTGTTACAAACCACGGCCACCCAAAAATATATAATTCCTTCATTTATAGATAACCTGGAAATCAGAACATTCAGCAAGCTCTTCATAGAGCAAAATATGCTTCTGGATCAGCATTGTCAAGAACTGAAAATGCATATTGACATACTTATATTTGAAGCATAATACGTTTATATACACTGCATATCACCTTCTCAGTATAACAAAACAACTTTTAATTTGTAAAACTACTCCACATTGAATTTTTTTGTAAATCTTTCCAACATTTTTATTTTTCCAGAAAAAAACAGGGAAAAAACATTTTTCCAATGGCTTTAAAATGTCTGGAAATTTTATATCTATATCCATGACTAAATATAAAAAACACAGGTGTCTGGTTTTAAGCAGCCATTCTGAATTATACAAAAATGACAAAACTGTTGTTTACAGCTACGACTTTGCATGCAAAATTTGATTGGTTGCATATTGTTATGCCCTCAGCAATACAGAATCTGGGACACCCTATTCCTATCCATATGCAGCCTTTTGATAACACTTTTGATGAGCTGTTGGCTACATCCACTGGAAACCTTCCCCCAACAAAGGAATATTACATATATCCCCAATTCACCTGTAAGATTACAATGTCATTGATTGAAGCGTGATGACATTATCATGCTGTGGTTAGAATGATATCTCTGTCCCTGGGTTGTGAGGTACAGTGGATATAAAAAGTCTACACACCACTGTTAAAATGTCAGGTTTTTGTGATGTAAAAAAATGAGACAAAGATAAATCATTTCAATATTCTTTCCACCTTTAATGTAACCTGTAAACTGTACAACTCAGTTGAACAACAAAGTGAAATCTTTTAGGTGGAGGGAAGTAAAAATAAAAAAAAACTAAAATAATATGGTTGCGTAAGTGTGCACACCCTTAAATTAATAATTTGTTGAAGCACCTTTTGATTTTATTCCAGCACTCAGTCTTTTTGGGTATGAGTCTTATCAGCATGGCACATCTTGACTTGGCAATATTTGCCCACTCTTCCTTGCAAAAACACTCCAAATCTGTCAGATTGCAAGGCATCTCCTGTGCACAGCCCTCTTCAGATCACCCCACAGATTTTTGATCAGATTCAGGTCTGGGCTCTGGCTGGGCCATTCCAAAACTCTAATCTTCTTCTGGTGAAGGCATTCCTTTGTTGATTTGGATGTATGCTTTGGGTTGTTGTCATGCTGAAAGATGAAGTTCCTCTTCATGTTCAGCTTTCTAGCAGAAGCCTGAAGGTTTTGTGCCATTATTGACTGGTATTTGGAACTGTTCATAATTCCCTCTACCTTGACTAAGGCCCCAGTTCCAGCTGAAGAAAAACAGCCCCAAAGCATGATGCTGCCACCCACCATGCTTCACCGTGGGTATTGTGTTCTTTTGGTGATATGCAGTGTTGTTTTTGCGCCAAACATATCTTTTGGAATTATGGCCAAAAAGTTCAACCTTGGTTTCATCAGACCAGAACACATTTTCCCACATGCTTTTGGGAGACTTCAGATGTGTTTTTGCAAAATTTAGCCGTGCTTGGATGTTTTTCTTTGTAAGAAAAGGCTTCGTCTTGCCACTCTACCCCATAGCCCAGACTTATGAAGAATACGGGAGATTGTTGTCACATGTACCACACAGCCAGTACTTACCAGATATTCCTGAAGCTCCTTTAATGTTGCTGTAGGCCTCTTGGCAGCCTCCCAGACCAGTTTTCTTCTCATCTTTTCATCAATTTTGGAGGGACGCCCAGTTCTTGGTAATGTCACTGTTGCACCATATTTTCTCGACTTGATGATGACTGTCTTCACTGTGTTCCATGGTATATCTAATGCCTTGGAAATTCTTTTGTATCCTTCTCCTGACTGACTGATACCTTTTAACAATGAGATCCCTCTGGTGCATTGGAAGCTCTCTATGGACCATGGCTTTTGCTGTAGGATCCGACAAAGAAAATATCAGGAAAGACCTATTAGAACAGCTGAACTTTATTTGGGGTTAATCAGAGGCACTTTAAATGATGGCAGGTGTGTACTGACTCCTATTTAAAATGATTTTGAAAGTGATTGCTTAAGTCTCAACACAGCTACATCCCCAGATATAAGCGGGTGTGCACACTTATGCAACCACATTATTTTAGTTTTCTATGTTTACTTCCCCCCTAAAGGATTTCAGTTTTTTTTTCAATTGAGTTGTACAGTTTATAGGTCACATTAAGGGTGGAAAAAGTTCTGAAATGAACTAATTTTTTTACATCACAGAAACCTGACATTTTAACAGGGGTGTGTAGACTTTTTATATCCACTGTATGCACACAGGCAAATTACATTAAAGCGGCCATACATGAATCAAAACGTAGTTGGCTGTGCAGGGACCTATTTGGGCAGGCTGATTTCATGTAAGTTGATCCATCAACTTATTTCGCCTAGGGGATGGTGAATAAGGTAACGTACTTACCGTACTTTATAGCTTGCTTCCCTGGCAGTCGCTGCTTTCCTCTGCTGTCAAACATTCTGGCTTATGGGGATTCCATCCGCAACCTCATTTACAATGCATGACTTCTGGTCCTGCACTGTACCAAAAAGGTATCAGAGATCTGTGACTGGTTGGGCAGTCCCATAACAGGTCTTACAGCATGGAAAAAGTCTGGGGGAATAAGGCAAGTATATCACATTGATCATTATTCCCTAGGACAAAGGAGCAGATAACCCTTTCATTGCGTAGTGAATCTACTAGTAATGTCTGACCTCCCCCGGATTTCAGCTTCAAAGTGTAAATGCAAAATCTTTTTTCTTTTCAGTGGTGAGGAGTTAGATCCCCTGCACAGTTTTTATTCCAGTCTGTTGGAAAGATGCACTGCTCTATTTCTCTACTGGTGACCACTGTCACTGCGAAGTGAGGGAAAGAGGTAGTGGTAAGTCTTCCAATAAGGACCACTGTTCAGGTGGCAACTCTCCTAGAGGAAAATTCCTGGGAGGTTTCTCCAGGATAGGAAGTGAAGAATAATCTTTAAAATGGTACACAGACAGAACAAAAAAAAAAGAAAAAAAAAACCTGATGTGGTATTAACCCTTCTCTTACCTGTTCAAAACTAAAAAAAAATGTTTTTCTGTACAAACTTTTTAACAATTTTATATTTTAAAGACGCAGCAGTGCACATATTGAAGATTAGTTTTAACAGGTTCTGGGTTAAAATTAATTGGGAAAAAAGAATTCTCAATTCTAGGAGTTGGCTATCAAGTTTCTATTAATCAGCTGAAGTATCAAATCATGTTGATAATTCTAATATTTAACACCTGGTATGAAAGTAAGCTAAT